TCTTCAGGTTTAAGTCTGAAGACTAGATGTTAGAGCCCATTCTTAAATACAAAATATATGTGGAGAGGGCGGGGAAAGGTGGTGGGCGAATTTTATTGGTCGAAGAGTTTTCTATTAAAACTCTCATTGTTTGGACCGGAAACTTTATACATCCGTTGATGTTTAATCGGGTGTTTATTCAGTTGTCTTAATGAATTTGTGGGATTATATACCCGAGGATTAGCCGAATATTCTAATTTCAATACAATGGTTGTTTCAGTGATATATGCAAGATCACTATTTTTTACGAGTGCGCATTATGCCCTTTTATACTCGTGTCATACATCAGAGAATTTGGAATTAACCTGTGCTCGTTTTGTGCTGTTGTTTTAGTCTTTTTACCCTTTTTGGGCTTTTGTTTAGCTCGCTTCTTGCGGCTTATTATCTCGGTGTTTAACCGATTGATAGTACCAGCTGTTGTGGTTATATGGAGAGTTATTACTCCAATATTGAGCAGTGTTTCCTGCTTGTATAACTGCACATTTTCTATTTATCGAGCTGAAGATGGTCTAAAGTGTTGCCAAATTGTATGACTAAAATAATATGCATATGGGGGTGGGGGTGGGAGTGGGATGGGTTACCTCGGGTATGTAGTAATTTTTAGGCTCACATCATCTAGACTTCGGACCGAGGAGGTTTTTCTTAGCCATAAATATATAAATAAAAATAAACATATATAAAAAAACAAGGAGAAGATTGATTTACAATACTAGAGATGGTAATTAAATTGATTTATGCCATCTTTAGGAGACATAAAAGGATGTGTGTGCATAATATACGAAAAAATATATGCAAAAAACGAGTGTAATATTCTAAAACCTTTTACAATTTGTGAATGAATCTATATACATTTTTCTGTGTTAATACAGAGAAGGGTTCATTTACATAATAGAAACTGTATATACATGTATTTGGATAAAGGTCATAGTATATGGGATGGATCCGTGGTTTACAATTCATATATTGTCTTATATAGGGGTACAATATTTTCTATTTACACAAATGGCAAACAAAAGGTTTTGACATTGTTTAAGACTATATGGAAATGATACAGATAGAATATATGACAAATTTCTAAAGTAAATTTCCATCTGATATATGTTTTTAATGAGAATACATTGATTTCCCTCTATAATATGCCGTGTAGGTAACATTATAGAGTGTGTCTGTATTATATTTACTTAGGCAGTTTTGCTATTTTAAGGTTTATACCATTGAAACGTTGATGACATAGATACAGTATATTTAATACATTTTACGTAATGTTTTACTTAAAAAGTACATATATTTCTCTATTTTGGACTGGTTATAATAACAGTCTCTGAGTGTTATTATATACTATCATTGGGGATATAATAACGGGAGTGTTATCGTCTTTACTTGATTGAGTCTTAATAGGGACTCAATCAATGACTTGATAGGGATTTTTTATGCGGACCTATTTTAGGGTCTCGTATTTCTTAAAGAAATAGATTTAATATGCATAAAAAAACAGTCGTAATTGCTGTTTTTAAAGAAGTAGGTTTAGTGTCCGGGTTAGTTTATCTATAGTTATAATAACAGTCTCTGTACGTTATTATATACCGTAAGAGGTAATATAATAGCGGGAGTGTTATCGACGTTACTTGATTGAGTCTTGAATTGGACTCAATCAATGACTCGATCGGGATATTAATTACGGGTCCCGTATTTCTTAAAAACTAGTTTGAATATGATTAAAAAACAGTCGAGATTTCTGTTTTTTAATGGAGTAGAAGGGTTAGGGTTAGGGTTAGTTATCTTTTGTTTACTTTGTTAGTCTTGCTGTGTGTGGTTTGTTAGTCTTTAGCAAGATTAGCAAGATAAAGTTATCATTCCTTTAACCTGTAAAGGGTTAGGGTTAGTGCTAGAAATGGGATTAGACAGGCGTGTGTTGGGGGTTGTGTAAGGTGAGAAGGAACGACGATTCAACCAAGGAGGTGTAAAATTATTTCTACTACTCGGCCGACAGTGGTCATTATTTTCGGAATCCGTCAATCCTGTAGTTAATCAGCTAGTCAATCAATAAGTCAGTCAATCCACTGGCTGAGATGATTCTTTCAACCTAGGTAAAGAAAATAAATCTATTAGAAAGATAAAAGAATATATGTTAAGCTATGGGTCACGTATTTGTAGGTGGAGGCGTTTCGGTAATTCAGACTGGAATGCATTCTCCGAGAAGGACTCTCTCTATTTATCTTTAAATCTGCGTGATTCCATATCCAGCCGTTAGTGTACTTCCAATCCAACTACTGGTGCCACAGTTGAGCACAGTCCGTTCATTTAAAAGTCAATGTTTTTAATTGGTGATATGGTTTTAATGGTTTCTGAAATATATGGTATGAAAAAAGAGGTTTCCTGAAATGAGAATATTGATTAAGCATATTCGTCCTCTCCTCATGGGTAGACGTAATTTAAGGCTAAATTTGTTCCGCTTATCAACCTTTGCAAGACAACAAATCGGCCCCGGCACTAGCAGGGTTAGGGTAGGATGAGGGGTGGGTTACCGGTTAGGGTGCCCCACAGAGAGCATTGGCCTGGGGCAAGGGAGTTGTCAAGCAGTCGGAAGGTGGGCTTAGAAAACAAACAAACCGGTTAGTCTACAGGTTTTATCATGACTCGAGGAAGTTAGGTCTCTTTTTGTACAGGGGGTAGTTTGCTAGGGACAACAATATCGCTAAGATTTTTGTTCCTTGAATAAGCTATGATGAGTTTACTTTTGTAGATTTTTGGTAAACTTTCTTGTAATTCGTTATAGTATTTTTTAACGATTTTTGTGGCTTTGTGTGCCGTGCTATTGTATTTTATGACTAGTGGGAGAACACTGGTGTTGAGGAGTAGATTAATGCCGTTTGGGGATATGGTGTTTAACTTCTTAATCCAGAAGTCTTCCCGAAGTAAACGGCATTGTCTCGTGTCTTCACTAGTCATGGGGATTTTTTCTATTGGGGTGATAATTAAATCCGATATCGAATGGCTGCTTTGGTTAAAATGCTTGGATACGGGTTTATCCGTTATTCTCCTGATATCGGATAAATGACCGAGCATTCTGTTCCTCAAAGAGTTTTGACTTTCACCGACATACTGCTGAAGACAAGATTTGCAGGAAATTAGGTAGATTAGGTTCGAACTTTCGCACGTGAGTCGATTATTAATTGGGAATTTCTCACGAGACGAATTGTTTTGGAAAAAATTGGTGCGTTTTAAGTATTTGCAGATTGTGCATCGCACGCTCATGCACGGCATTGCTCCGAATTGTTGGAATGGTTTGACAGGAATTATGTCTTTGGCTTTAATTTCTGCTAAAGTGGTGTTTTTAATCTTTCGTAGAAATCGTTTTGAATAACCCCGTTCCCGGAGTTTATCGAAAACTAGCCTACACGCGTTCTCAAAATCGGCATGGCGCGTACAGATGCGATAAAAACGGAGAATTTGGGATTTAATGATGCCCGAAAAAGTGTGTTTGGGGTGAAATGAAGACTTAAATAAAAGTTGGTGCGTGTCTGTTTCTTTAAAAAATACTTTGATGTCTAAATTGCCCTTAACAGTCAGGTTTTCGCCCTTGAACACTGTCGTGTCCAAGAAGTCCATGCTCTTATCGCTAACAGTGGCTGTTAGTTTGATGGAGGGGTGGTGATTGTTTAAAGTATCAAAATACTGCCAAAATTCCTCCTCCGTAAAAGGCCAAATTATAAAAATGTCATCTAGGAACCGTCCGTAGAAGCTTGGTTGTAATGGGCAAAGAGGCAAGAGCTCTCTTTCCCACTCGGCCATGTAGAGATTTGCAAAATTTGGACTATATATTTGACCCATCGATACCCCAGTAGTCTGGAGGTATGTCTGCTCATTAAAGGTAAAATCATTTCGGGTGAGACAGATTTCTAAGAGTTCCAAAATTTCTTCGTCCGGACGAGATTTCATCGGGTTTCTTAAAAAGGCCTTTCGGAGCGCTTTAAGGCCAGTCTCGTTATCAATATTTGTGTACATACTCTGTACATCGATCGATATTAATAACGCGTTGGGTGGTACCTCTAATTTTTTGATTTTTTCAACAAAATCGTTCGTATCCTTAAGATACGATGCATGTTGGACGGCCAACGGTTTCAAAAAGTAGTCGATATATTCAGAGACATTTCTACACACACTCGAACAGTCCGAGACTATAGGGCGCCCTTTGGGTATTTTATGCGGCTCGAACCATTCAGATTCAGGATTTTTATGGATTTTGGGTAGTGTGTAGAAGTGTCTCTGTCGACAGTCCTCTTTAGCCGAAAGGTGGTGGAATTGTTTTTCGGTTAGAAATTTCTTTTTTACTAACCTGTCCAGGATTCCGTTAATCAACGTGCGAGTTTCTAAGAAAATTGGTTCTTCTAGTTTTTTATAATATTTCTCATTGCTTAATTGCTTTTCTGCTTCCAAAATATAGTCACTGCGGTTTAGTATTACACAACAAGAGCCCTTATCACTTTTCTTGATGACTATAGACTTGTCATT